GAAACCACTGAAAGCTGAAGAGATTAATATTGATTATATCAATATAATGCCGCCTGTCAAGTGGTGGGATATATTAGGCAGCAAGTGAACAGTCAGTTTCTGAATTTCATGTGTTGGAAGCAGGAAGTGAAAAGATCTGAGTAACTTAGACAAGGGCCAAATAGTGAGACGACTGGGTTAGCAATCATTTAGAAATGGTTTGAAGAACATGACAGAGAGTTCAAGGTGTTGCCTTGTCCTCCAAATTTCCCAGATCTAAATCCGATTGAGCTTCTATAGGCTGTGCTGGACCAACAAATCTATCCATTGAGGCCCAGCGTCTGCAACTTGCTAATGTCTTGGTGCCAGATACCACAGGACACGTTCTGAGGTGTTGTGGTGCCCATGACACATCAGAGCTGATTTAGCAGCACAAAGGGGACCTGCATGATATTATGGCGCTTTTCCACTGCGTGGTACGACTTGGCTCGGCACGGTTCGGCTCGGCACGGTTTGCATTTCCACTGCAGTTCAGTACCGCTTCAGAGTGGGCGGGGTTATTCACATGTCATTATAGTTGCGCCGCCTCTACTACCACGACTCCTAAAAAAAAACATTTTCATTCCGCGTCGCCCCATCAAGCTCTGGATCCGCTCCTCTGCTATCAACGAGAGGAACGTCTGTTCTTCCGCAACAGACAACAAAACCTTTTGGTTGTTAAAAAAAAAGTGCGCTCGTTCAAAACAGTTGCGTTCGATCCTTCTCTGGTTGTGCTGATTTAAATCTAGCGGTTCTTTTGTGTTTGTGTCACAAGTTCAGTGATGCGGGTAGTGATGATTCTCTCTGGCCAATCCGTGATCAGCAGAGTTTACACGTCACGGTTTGGTAATGGTACGGTTCACTTGGAACCCCAACCGAGGTGGTACTAAAAAAAGTACCAGGTACCAGGTACTGTACCCAGTGGAAAACCCCCAAAAAGTGAACCGTACCGTGCCGTACCATGCAGTGGAAAAGCGCCATTAGACAGGTGGTTTTAATGTGTCTGATCAGTGTATGTGACGTGGACAGGATGTCATAGAAGTCGAAACCAACCATATGCCCTAAGATGGCTTTAATGGCTTTCTGCATGTTAGTATGTGCAATAATAACAGTGAGGCTTGCCTTATTGTGAAAACTCAGAGTGATGAAGTCCTGACACAGAGCTTTGCCTATGTTGGCATGCTACTGTTCTGGTAAGGAATGTGGCTGTCTGTTTTCATAGAGCCATGCTGGCCTGCTGCCAGAGATGGGCATAAATACATGAACATTTATTTAAAATAAAAATACAAAATACTGTGTGGAAAAATTTATTTAAATACAAATATACTATATAAATATTTTCTATTTTCAAAATACATGTAGAATTGGCCATCCAGTGCAGGTATCCCTATAGGCTGAAATCTATCTGGACCTATTCTGGAGAAAAAACAAACACACATTTCGATGTGTACAACTGAGGGCACAAAAAAAATATCCATATTCAAAACGTAATAATCACTTGAATCTAGCTTGCGCTCACTGTTGTAAACGGAACTGTGTGAGAGTTTTTTTTTTTTTTTTTTTTTGGG